CCACGCCTGGCTAATTTATTGATTTATTGTAGAGATGAGGTCTCGCCAAGTTACCCAGGTGGGTCTCGAACCCGCAGACTCAGGCAATTCACTCAACTCAGCCTCCCAAGGCGCGGGATTACAGGCTGAGCCACCGAGCCCAGCTTATGGTCACACAACTTCTAAGTGGTCTAGACGACTTGAACCCATGTGCATCTAGAAAGTCTATAATCACTGTAGTTGGAGTCCTATGATTTTGGCTATTAGAAGGTCATTGGTGACTTTTGCTGTTTTGGTTTCTTGAGTGTTACAGAATCCAAGGGTATAATGGATTAAAAAGAGCACAGGCAGGGAGGAAGCTAAGACAGCAAGTAATTTTAATAGCTAACAAAAGGAATTTTAATAGCTAACAAATGCTCGAAGTAGGGGAATCATTTCATATACTTTGAAATGTTTAAACATTGCACAACCATTAAAATCAGTTTTTTTGAAGAGTGCTTACTGATATCACATGCTTACTTTGTAATAGCAGATTTAAAAAGTAGAATATAAAGTGAAATATATGATATGATCCCCACTATTTAAAAATGCATGAACATTTCCATGTAAGGAAATTCCAAGATATGTTAAAAATAATTACCTACTCTGGATGGTAAAGTATTAGGTTGTTTTTATTTTCTTTAAGCATGGACATTCATGTACTACATAGTGACATCTTGGTCAGTGATGGAATGCATATACAATGGTGGTTCCATAAGATTATAATGGAGCTGAAAAATCCCCATGACCTAGTGATAGCCATCCTAGTGTCATATTACTCACAATTTTTTTTGTGATGCTGGTGTAAACAAACCTACTGTACTGCCAGTTGTATAAAAGTCTAGCACCTATAATTATGTAGAGTATATAATACTTGATACTGGTCACAAATGACTGTATTACTGATTTATATATTTACTATACTATGCTGATTTTTTGTTGTTGTTGTTGATTCAGCATCTCATTCTGTCACTTGGGCTGGAGTGCAGTGGCATGATCCTGGTTCATTGCAGTCCTGACCTGCTGAGGTCAAGCAATCCTGCTGCCTCAACCTCACAAGTAGCTGGGACTACAGGCACACACCACCAGACTTGGCTAATTTATTTTTATTTATTTATTTTTTTGTAGAGATGAGGTTTTGCTAGGTTGCTCAGGCTAGTCTCGAACTCC